TGAAGTTATGTTTTCTTCAATTATGAAACACTGTTTTGTTGTGGAAACGTTTCCGATTTTCTAGAAGAAAGTCAAAGATAAAGAGACCTTTTAATTAATACAAAGTGGCATTTTACCTAATCTGTTATTAGTGTACAAAGATCTCTTCATGTGTTACATGCACGAACGAGCACTACGTTCATTAGATCCTATGACTATGAAAGCGTGTTTTTCATGTATAGAGTCTGAAGAATGTTTTCAAAGTAAGCTGCAAAACAGTACTAAAATGACTCCATGATATGTTTTTACAAAGAAACACAATCTTCAATAGATAGTTGTTTCCTATTAACTGCTTCCCTAGATTTCATTCATTCGAGTCTGATACTTCGTTATGAGGGAGGAAGCAAAATATTGTTCGTACTGAATTTCGATATCATTCTGGGCTTAAATACTAAACAAGTCAATAAACTTCAGAAACTATTTCAAAATGTCGATTTTTTAAGGGGGGAAGGGGGGGAGTCTTCTAATATGTCTTTTGCGTCATTTATTCAAGGGGGGTCTTCTAATGTGTCGATGGCTTTATATTACTAAAGTGTACACGTACATTTTGTTTTCGATTTCCATTGGAAACACTGCCCTCACGCAGTGCTGCGTGTGTCTAAAATTACACCATTCAGTGGAAGTTGTGATTAGACTGAACAAATACCGAGATTGTAAAAAAAAGGGACATACGAATTTATTATTTGTTAGTGAATTATTGTTTTCCTTCAATAATTGATTATTTAAGTCAGCTATACGATAAGTTATAATTTCATATGGAAGAAGACGGTTGATCAAATTCTGAACAGAGCCCATAATGTACTTATTATGAATAAATAATTAATTAGTTTTTCAATGTCAATTTCAAATAAAAATATTATGAGACGCTTAAATATTTATATTTTTTTTATATAAATACTTTGTGAGAAGCCAAGTTTTTAAAGGATATTCTATTTCATGAGAAAAATAAATTCAAATGAATAAAAGAATGAAGACTATATAGTATGAAAAAACAAAATTATTAAGCTCAACAAAAAATTGTTTTTTTTTATTGACTGAGCATGTTTTTTCATTTTGACTTAAGAAAGTATCAAGTAATCGTTGTTTAGAGAATATGAAATGAATTTCATATGAAATAATTAATTCGATTTGAATTAAAAGTGCCTGAATAAAATAATGATTCTAGTATTTTACTATTACTGTAAAATATTTTTACAAAAATCGTATTTTTTTCAAAACGAAATTCTGGAGTAATTTTATTTATGACATTTAAACGTAATTGACGACGTTAATTTAAACAGTTTGAAAGAAAACAAAAACAGTTTATAGATTCATTTTGACTAAAATAATGTCCAAAACAAAACAATTTCAAAATTGATGAAATATTTGTTTTTTTAGGACAGAGAGGAATTATTAAACATTAGTGAGTTTGAGTCATTAGAATCAGTCAAATAATGATTCTACAATTATTAGCCATGCTAACCCTAAAATAAATATTCAAATTAGATCGTTAGATTATAGATGGAAAATTATTAAACATTTAATTTTTGGAGAATCCATAGCTATAAAATATTTTTTGTTTATTTTCTAACCGACAGTGACAACCTTAATAATTTAAATGCTCCTAAGTCTTTATACCACGTTTGATAAAAGATAGATTAGAAACATTAAATAAAATTGGATCAATTACATTCATAATCTTTTTTTTTATTCGAAATATTCTAAGTCTTACAATCTTTGTATTTTATTTTTTATTTGTAACATTCTCAAAATTAATTAGATATAAATTTGTTTTATGTCGCAATTTTTTTCTTGGATGCATGAGTATCATTGTCGAATGTTGTTATATAATTAAATATGATATCAAGAATGCTTCAATACTTGATACACCATTGAAACGTTGTTTATGATTTTGTTTTATTCCATTCAGTAAAGATTCTCTCAAAAGAATGTGCTATGTAAACATAACACTATCGAGGATAACTTTCTCATTTTTGTTACAATACATATAAATTCAGCATTGGATTCTTTTTTTGTTTCTATATGTGAGGTTATTAGTTGATGTCATTTTTAAAATAAAAAAATATTATCCTATATCTAATAGAAATATTGTTAATAAATTTCTGTATTAAAAATGAAAAAAAAGTAAAAAACAAAATCATCACAGTTGTTTTTCTATTTATATCTTATACTATTATATCTTATTCAACCAAAAAACAAAACACAAACCCGTCAATATGAGACTATAAGACCAGATTTATTACATTTGTTTTCTGGCTGGTTAATGCTAAGAAATAATATAGTGCTCAAATATAAAAATCGATTCTTTAAAAAGAATATAATATTGTATAAAGATAATGATATCAAATGTTTTTACTATAAAATTTCCAGATTAAAACTGAAAAAAAATTCAACAAGTATTTCACATCATTGTGGTTCGCGATCAGTTTACTCAATTAAACAGAGCAGCGGGTGGGGTGGGGGAACAAAGGGAAAAGAAAAACAATTGAACAAATAAATATTTGAGATGATTATTTTTTAAATTGATGAATGAATATAATTTTAATGAGATAGCTCTAGTTTAATTATCGTCTTTTTAAAATTTGCATGTAAACAAAGCGCGCCTTATAAAGATTGTTTACGGCAGTAAATCCTGTATACGATTTGGGACTTCTGTGAGTCTCGACGGCATGCCATCAAGATAGAGTTGGCCTCGTTGAAAAACATTTAGTTAAATGGTGAAGCTGACAATGCATTGATATGAAAATGTGATTCTATTGTGAAAGTAAGTGCATGATGGACGATTTTCTCGAATTTCGTACTCAAAATAAAAGAAATTGTCTTATTTGAACTACTCACTTGAACAGAGTACTACATATTTAGCAAATAGTAATAATTTAACAATTTCTCATTTATTACTTTTCTTGTTGTTTTATCCATTTTATCAGCATGTCCATCACAAACACCGAAAAAGTAATCGAACTGTCAATGCCTTCATATTTTTCTGTTCTTACCAGGACTGGAAAAAATGTTGATCCGAAAGAGTTGAAGAACATAAAGTAATGTATGAGATAAGCTGTACGATGCGATAATACTTAAGTCTATATATCGAAGCAGAACAGAGGAAAATTGAAATAAATACCAAGATAATAAATGATGCAATTACATTTTTTTTCTCTCGTTCGTTGTTCTTGATTATATTTTGAATTCAAACTACCAGGTGAAGTTTGTCGGTGAGTATCAAAATAAAACTTACATTAGACATCGTAGGACACTCGAGAACAAAAAGGAATGCATCGTCTACATAAATAAAAAGATTTTTTTTTTGTCAAAACACCTTGTCACATTCATGATTATTAATCAAACCACGATCTGTGTTTAATGTTAACGAACGAAAAAGTATACTGAAAGCCTATATGTCAGTAATGGCTGACACCTCACATATAAGAGTATCATCACAAACTCCTCAATCAAGACAACGTGCGACTCAGAACTATTCACTTATCTGGGTTCAAAGTGGTTGGGATGAAACAACGACGATTTGCCAAAATATACTCACGCAATTGCGCAGTGTTGTCAATGAGGTGGCAATCTGTAAGAATCCGGCACATTGTATTCAGTGCCTCAATAACATGGATGACGAGAAAGTCTTCATCATATCTTCTGGTGATTTGGGCCAACAACTCATGCCACAAATATATGACATGCAAAAAGTCTATGCCATTTACATTTTTTGTGGCAATAAAACAAAGCATAAACAATGGACACAAGAATGGACAAAGATTAAAGGTGTTTTTACCTCAATCACACCCATTTGTAAATCCTTAAAAAAGATCACCCATCAAGTTGATCATGACACAATACCGATGAGCTATCTCCCAAAGCAAGCTTTAGAAAAAGGAGCAGCACCTGATGAAGGAAAAAAGCCCGATCATCTGCCATCATCTTACATGTATTCTTCAATATTCAAAGACATCATATTAGAAATCGATGAAAATGATGAAAAACCATTGCAAGATCTAATGATTTATTGCCGCCGCAATATTCCTAAAAAGGAATTGGGAAATTTGGACTATTTGAATAAATTGGATTATTTTCAAAGTGAATACCACAAGAGAACAGCGGTCTGGTGGTATAGTGATAAGAACATATTTCTGTACAGTATGCTCAATCGTGCTTTGCGCACACTCGATATGGAAGTCATGATAAAGGTGAGCTTTTTTATTCGTCATCTTCATCGACAATTGGAACAACTGCATAAGGAACGACCCGACGAATTTAAGAAGTCATTCACCGTATATCGTGGTCAAGGGTTGTTGTCCGAAGACTTTGAACAACTTCGCAACACGGAAGGTGGACTTCTATCATTCGATAGTTTTTTATCAACAAGCACTAAGCGTGAAATAGCAGAGAGATTCGTCGAGTCCGCATTACCGAAGTACAAAGACAACGTGGGTGTTCTCTTTGTCATGACAATTGATCCGATTGATGTATCAACATTGACAACTCCTTTCGCTCCTATCAAAAAATATAGTGTTTTTCAGGAAGAAGAAGAAATTCTCTTTTCGATGCATACAGTATTTCGTGTGGGTGACATTCAACAATCAACTAAGAATAATCGTCTATGGGAAGTACAATTGATACTAACCGATGACAATGATCCACAGCTGACTACTCTCACCAGGTACATGAAAAACGAGATCAATGGCAAAGGATGGTATCGAATGGGTAAATTGATGCTCAAAATTGGTCATTTCGATCAAGCTGAAATACTCTACAATGAATTACTCAAGGAAGCTACGAATGACAGCGATAGAGCAGATATCTATCAACAACTTGGAGAGATAAAAATTCACAAAGGACAATACAGAGAAGCTATTTCGTATTACGAGAGATCCCTAGAAATCAAGCGAGAAACCTTCAAGGAGGACAATACTTCGTTGGCTCTTACCTACAATGATATCGGTCTCGTGTATAGCAGCATGGACGACTACTCGAAAGCACTTGAATTTTACGAAAAAACACATCAAATCTACGAAAAAGCTCTGCCTCCAAATCATCCTGATTTGGCTATTCCCTACAACAACATCGCTGCAGTGCACTACAAAATGAATAACTACTCGAAAGCGCTTGAATTTTACGAAAAATCACATCAAATCTTCGAAAAAGCTCTGCCTACGAATCATCCCGATTTGGCTACTTCCTACAACAACATTGCTTCAGTGTATAACGATATGGGTGACTACTCGAAAGCACTTGAGTTTTACGAAAAAGATCTTGAAATAACGAAAAAAGTTCTTCCTCCAAATCATCCCGATTTGGCTATTTCCTACAACAACATTGGATTACTATATGACGACATGGGTGACTACTCGAAGGCGCTTAAATTTCATGAAACGGCACTTGCTATTCGAAAAGAATCACTTCCACCAGAACATCCTGCAATTAAACGATCAATAGACAATATTGCCTCAGTGAAACAGAAAATGTGATCTCTTCCTATTCCTTATTCTCTTTCAGTTGTGACTTCGTTTTCCCAGATAGACTCGCTTTTCGATTCGTGTCCTCCCTACTCAACACATGTGAAACCCAAACACAAACTAGATGCAGCTATACTAAAATTGAATAATACATATACAAAAATACAATATACAAAAATTCCACCGATTGAATAGCTAGTTTAACTCAGTTTGCGAATCCTATCAGATAAAGATTAAAAAATTGTTCATTTTGACAATGTATGACGATTTATTCGATATGATTTTCGGAAAATGTAAAACAAGTACGAAGCAAAAAACGTCGAGTACTTGAAAATATTGACTCCGTTGTATACGTTTTATTGGTTTCGAAACTATCACTGGATAGATCTCGAACAATTTCTCTTTACTGAATAAGTTCTACGATGCAGGAAGTTTTTCTTCAGGGTCAAATACACTGAATACAACCAAAATTAGTGGAAAATTGACGACATATCTTACAATTAGCAAAGTAAATTTTATTTCAAAATATAAGTCTGTGCATGAATATGATCAAATTAATTACAATGCAAAGTATTTAAATAAAATAAATAATTAAAGTATTACTCAGCCGATTCATGTCATCATCAATCATAATTCATTTCTACTAATTTTTTCTTTAAATTCTATATCAGGAGCTTTTTCCTTCGGATAGGTAATATCAATAATTGGTAAATTATTTTTTTCACAATAGTCAACATATTTTTGCGATATTGATCTCCAATCTTCTACAGCAATTGTATTGCCGGATTCATCTAAAAATTCTAATGCTCCCCATACAAAAAATAATGTTTCACTTTCACCATAATCTTCATGAATATATAATGTATGAACTGATCCTGGAGTTTCATGTACAATATCTCCAGGTTTTGATAACCATTCTGGATGTTCACGATAACCCCATGCACCTTTTAGTGTATAACCATATACCTGATCATAATGACGATGTGTGCCTAACATACTACCAGGTGCACCACGTAATATATTTATCCATAAACCAGTATAGGGATCTACTTGTAATAATTTTAATTTTATATCATATTTTGGGTCACCATATGGAAAAAAATATGTATTATTTGCACTTATATGTGTTGGTCCATTGGCCAATAAAAAATCATAATTTGTTCCGTCACTAACAGCAATTAATAAATAAAAGCAGAGAATATATAACAGTTTCATTTATCTAAAATGAAAGAATAAAGTTTCTTTGCACTATTAACATCTTGATTCTCTTCGTTATTCTCTGTTTAAATGCAAATGACTTGAGAATGAAGAACAAAAAAATCTCAAGATAAATTATCAGTTCATTATTTTCTTTGATCAAACATACATTGAAAACTATGATAGCATTCTCTCGTATCTCTTAGCTTTGCATGCCACGTGAATGCATCAAGTTAATATATATATATATATATAACCAACCAGAGTCAGATAATAAAAAAGTCAATGAAAGAGAGATAAAAAAAGATAAGAGTCTCCTTGTTGTGACACTAGTTGAATATCTCTATTGATGTCACCTAATAGCATTACTGGTTGAAAGATGTTATCTCATTATATAAATATTGCGCACTAAAATAAAATGTGTCGTACTTTGTGACACAGTCTTCAGCACATTTGTCATTTTTCTGCAAGAGGAAATAATTTCTATTTTCTATTTTCAGTCAAATTATCGATACTTATTGTTATAGCTTAGGACAGTCAGTTCTTGAGATCTAGTCGTCTCAATTAGGGTGCCTCGGGACAGTCCTTTCTCGACCAGTAAATAATCGAGAAAAAAGACTTATGAAAATAGGTAAGTTCATTAGGTTCAATTGGATTGGTTATATATATTTGTATGGGTAAAACAAAACGATGAATGAATAGTTAGCAGATAGATCACAATATATTGATAATACGATACGTTTTATTTTAGTGTATAAATTAGCGTGGGAATTTGTTACTCTTACCGACTATTGCTATTCAGTATAGTACTGTATCCATCGTATCCATTTCTATTGCACATAAGAACAAACGTCATTCTGACTCGAATTACTTTCGCTTTATAAGTGCATGCCAATACAGTATTGTTTAGTTGGTGGGTGTGGGTGTGGGTACGGATGAGGAAAGCATAAACACTCGCACTCTCATCTCACGCACTCACCCACACCCACACCCACACCCATTGAGGATCTTCGTGTTTTTGAATGTTGATAATAGCTAGACCATGTAAAATGATTTCCCTGTTCCATTAGCCAAATGGAAACTCGACAGCTACAGTGAAGATGAGCAGAATCCAAGAGTAAAACAACTGACTTTTATGACTTTAAAGTCATTCAGATCACGTAGATCATTTAGATCATTTAAGTCATAAAGTCAGTTGTTCCCCCTCCCTCCTCCTCCCTTGGATTATTAGCAGCCATTGCAGGCGTGTTACTGCTAATATTAGATCTTGATATTATTTACTACGTAACGTTGCGTTTAGGTGACGATAAAGACATTCGGTAGTGTAAAGATGAACAACTGCTGATTCTTCTTGATTTAAACCATCGAAAGGACTATCCCAATTTTCGAGTGCAGATCAAACATAACTTTGAATAGATAGAATGAGTGCTTCAAGTATCATGACAACTTCTTTTAATGAAGGAAGTGATTTCAATTCATATCCTTCAATTATGTAGGTTTCTTATTAGCGTCAAGAAAACGTTCATGTGTAGTTATAACACTTGTTACCATGTGCGGAGTGAAAAGACGAAAGATGTAGAAAATATTAACCCTTTACCCTAGAGCAGTTTCAAAAGAGCCACTGATAAAATAACTTTATAAATAAAGTATTAGCCTACCCAATATACTAACTATGTGATCTGATCTATTGAGTATCCATCTGCTTTGAACGGACAAGCAATATCTATCACATTCTATTTAAACATGGAAAAAAGGAAGAGGTGAACTGATATAAGTTAATGTCAAAAGAATACATGAGTTTTTGACACATTTTGTTAAATAAGCATCTACTTTGCTTTGAACCATTCTATAACTTCTGAAAACATTTAATTCATAATAAATACTATTTCAGCTTCCCATAAATTAAGGTTTATGATGTATATATTAACTTTGTTCTTGATTTCCCTCCAACAGCCTAATGGTGATCCCATAGTCAATTATATACCTTAGTATGTGTAATTCTCTGAGTTATCATAAAGGTTTCGAAACATATCTAACTCACTAGTGGACTTCTTCGTCGATTTATATGGCATGGAAATCCTAACAGATCTCTATTGACTGTAGTTAAAGAACAGTTTGTTTCGAAAAATTCGATTTTTTTTATTTTTTTCAAAATTATCGATTTCGTTGAGCCAATATTTCAAAGATGTAGCAATGAAAACAAAATATTCTTTTTACCAATTGATAACCCATGAAGTTTATTACAAAAAAGTTTCTTATCATTTTCAAAATTCGCATGCTTCGTTTTATTTTCTGGAATTGTTCTACAAACGATCATTCTAGTGGCCTACAGGAGGGTAAAGAGTTAAATGTTATTATTATATTTTCACTTGAAAAAAAATGAATACCCATGCGACACTTTTTTATATTATCAATTCTGTCGAAATTGTGTACAATTGTGATGCAGTTTTATTCGCTCTGCTGTACTGCGCGCAATTATGCAAATGTAATCACAATTGTAACTAAAAGTACATTTACAGTGCGGCCGTAATTGTGTCGTGTTTTTGAGTGCAATTAAACAGATCGATATGAAAAGAATGAAAAAAGAAAAAAAAATACTTTTCAAGGAGTAGATAGATAAATTAAATAATAGAACAATAAAATTTTTCTTACATACTGCTGTTTACCAAGAACAACATTACACATGGTTATTTTTGAATTGCTTTTGACTGTTTCATAGAGCTTATGTTTTTACATTTTTGATGAATACACAAAGGTATAGAAATTGATGACGAATGAAACACAGTATCCTGATGACAACCATTGAGCGGAATCCATTTTGCGATAATCATTAATTATATGCTTAAAGTCTTATTGAATAGAAATATAAACTGCATTTACACGAATTGTACTCTTAATATTTACTGAGAATACTACTTTCTTTTGTGAATAAATTTTTATTTATGTTAAATAAAAAAAATACCGTGTTAAATTTATGTCATACTTGTTTACAGATGTTTTTTTTCCTCTACAACATCAAATATGATGATTAATTAATACTATAATACTAACAGATTGGTGATGGCATTCTCTAACAAATACTCAAATATAACCTCAAAATAACAAATAAAAAACATTACATGGAAACTTATTGAATAAACAGCCTATTATTCTGAATTTGACGTCGAAGTACTGTAGTTTCTTTAAATGCTGAAGACTTCTATAAATGAGTGTGTATTTAGAAAGATGGAAAACTATCATCGCTCTGATTCAAAATCTCAAATTGATACATGTTTGTACAATGGAAAACAAGAGTTATCATTTAAAAACGAAAGAAGAATAAACTACTTGTGGTGTTTAAAACACAGAAAACTTTATGGTTACGATCAAGTTCCAAAACATTTGTAAACAAACTCGTTTATTTTCAATGGATATCGGTATGATTTATCATGGTCTGAATGTGTTGTGAGCTTCTTCCTTTTCCACAATGAAACAATTAATATTTGGATACACTTCGTTAGGTTTGTATTATTTACATCATACTTTCTTCGAGACTTTATTTCGTTTAGACATCGTGATAGCTTATTTTCAACTGTAAATATGGATGTTTATTTCATGCTGCTCTTTTACGTCTTATCTATCATATCTTGTATGATAGCCTCGATAATGTTACACTTGCTTAGTGGTTTTTTAGCAAAAACACATACCTTGAGTCTACAGTTAGCCCTCTTCGATGTTGCTCTCACTACAATCGCATCGTTCTTCATTGGATTCCATTTATACATAAGAATTTTTACAAACTAGCAATCATTCTTCTCATCACGATCATTGTAATGCACCATGTTTTGAAACATGATAACACAACTGACAGTATGGGTTTCATTGTTATTACTCTAGTAGGTTTTGTTTCTTTGTTTCATTGGGTTTATGTGAATGGATACAGTTCGAATGTTTCATATTTCTTTGGTAATATCATAATTTTCTATGTTATATTTGGTGCTGGTATCTTGTGTTTTCGGACTAAAATTCTTGAACGATTTGTGCCTGAATATTTTGATTATGTGGGAGCAAGTCATCAACTATGGTATATATTTAGCGTCATTGCTTTTTATTGGTGGTACAACAATAGTGCGGAATTCATCAAATACTACCAAACATATGCTTGTACTACAGCTTTTGCGAGTATCAACAAAAGCAGCTAAACAATAATTGAAAAGCTTAAATTAATAGATAATAGAGAAAAACTAATCTGTCTTCAACCGATATATATTCGCGCGAACAATGGTGCATAGAAATTTACACTAATTAGGACAATCACATAATCATTCATCTGTTACTTTCGATTCATGCTTGTTTCAAGCCCGTGAACAAATTTTCAGGGTGAGTGGTAAGATTTTAATAAAAGAGAAGCAAATTCGAAACATCATACGATACATTTCGATTGTTGCTCATGCAGCCTTTAGCAAGTATACTCAGAATTCATAAAATACATATGAATTAAAATCCCATTTTGACTGAAAAGATTCAAATGAACTCATTCCTTGATAAACTATGCACGAACAATTCTTTTCAATGGATCATTCAATGAAGTGTCATTCAATATTTGTTCGAATCATTGTCACACCGAGATTGTAGAGCAGATATTCAATTAACTGATATGTCCAGTATTATCGTGATTTTGTATTTGATTCGAATTGATTGAATGAAGATAGATGATTTTTTGTTTAAGTTGAATATTACAGCTTCCACAACAGATCGATTATGATAAGATGAGTCAAAAATCTTCTCTAAATCGCTGTGTGTATTTGTTCTTCAAGGTACTTTTTCACGAAGTACCCAATTAGGTGTGGGTGTAATCGTGCCTTTTGAGAAACATAGTCCCACCCGCATCAAGATTTTGATGGATTCTGCTAAAATCCAAGTATTATATATATGAGATTAGTATAAAGAATTAAATGTCAAATAAGCTGATCTAAATATGAACAAGTACAGGAAAACTGAGATAATTGAAAAAAATGTCAAAGAAGTCGGTTAAAACTCTTTTTACTAGACGCGTTGTTCCATGAGAAAGGATGAGACGATATTTTCGTTCCATCCCATCCCATTTGATGCTCTGAAGGAGAACTATTTACTTACTGGAGGAAATGAAGAAGGCACCCACATCCACACCCAAATTTATTAAATTATTAGTTCAGATTGATTTTAATTATAGTTTAAACTTTTCATGAAAAATGAAATCAGTGATCATTTCGATGTTTATTTAAATCGATTATTTTGAAAAACAAGTTAATCTAATAAAACTTGATGGTTGATAATTATTTGATAAATTAGTTAATCAAGTAAATCTTTGTTTATCATATATGAAAAGATTTCACAAAATTGTGAAAGATAATTTCATATGTCTATCATGAGCATCGGCAGAAATTTTCAAAGAGGGTGTCCAACATAATGAAAATAATGTTTTCGCTGCAGAAAAAATTTTTTATTTGTGTTCCCTTCCAGAAACTCTTACCTTAAAAGCTCCCCTAGGCATTTTGGCAAGCCCCTCTAACTACCCTCCTGGTGTATCGTATGACGATATATCTTATCTTTTTGCACTTATATAAATTGTCCTTTGCAGATTTTTTGTTCTTCAGTGTATCTTCAGAATATTCATATATTAACTCATCAGCATAGGAAAGAGGATCCATCGATGCGATGATATTATCAGTAGAAAAAGATGTGAAGAGATCGTTGTAAAAGGTCTAATTTGAATATTAAAAAACAAAAGTTCCGACATCTCTGATACTCAATAAGTTGTCTATGAAACGCTTGATAATCAAAAACTTTCATTAATAATTTTGTCATCATTTACTAGGAAGATTTGTGAAAAGCTAATTTGATCGAGTATCCCAAATTTGAAGAAATATTTAACTTTCTGCTAAAATTTTAAAGACTTTCTACGAAACTTTTTTAAAGTTTCTTCGTAAACTTAGCCTAAAACCTAGGTTTTAAGCTTTCTTCGCTATTTTTCTGACAGAAAATCAAATAAAAGAATTGTTATCAAAAATTTTCATGTGAAAAACTGATCCACGACTAATCAAAATCCAAAAATTTCGACAGATGAAATTATGATTAATTTTTCTGGAAATCTATTTTCTTATAAAACTATTTCAATTACTGATTCAATCTAGGGTACAAGTGTTTTGACGTTTTAGGATAGTTTCTTGTAAAACTGTACGAAGATTAACCTGCTAATATTTGTTCAAAGGATTGGCGGCAAAACTTTTGAAGTATCCCATATACTTTCAATAAGTTATGTTTCTCTTGCTTTTTTTGATGTGCTAGCAATTCAATTCTGCTTTGTTTTTAACATCAGAAACAAGTGTCTATAAAACATCACTGACAAAAATGTGGAGGTTTGGTCTTCTTTATTTAAATATAAAGAAATATCTTAGAAATCAATAGTGAATCACGACGAAGCAGGTGTGTATCTGTGAGAATTATATAAGAAAAAAATCATAAGATAATATATGAATAAGATATTTATTTCATTTCAAAAAATGTATTCGATGTGGCCGTTACTTTTCTTATTATTGTTAGTTGGAGTTGATGCAAATGTATCTGCATCTCTAATTAAAGTAAGTTAACTTATATGTAATGAGATAAAATAAATTTTGATAAATCACGATATTCTCAAACAAATAATAAGCAGTTTATCGGCATGTTATCTAATAGAAGATGAACTTTGTTGTGATGATAGTTTTCATTATTGTTTAAAAGATCAAAAATATTTTTATCTAATGGAAATTGTCATTCATTTATAAATGATATTTCTATTGGTTTTATTTTTATTTTTCTTATGTCATTTGTTTTATTTAGTCCTCTTTTCCATTAGGAAATGCACAAACTGAAATAACATCAGTTCAATGTCCAGGTTAATTTTGATTAACAAATAAATATGTATAAATAAATGAATTATTCTAGATGGACAAACTTATTGTCTTAATGGTCAGACTTGTTGTCCATTAACAACGGGTCGGTATTATTGTTGTCCATTACGTAAGTTAATTTTTGTATGTAATTATTAGAAAAGTAATTATTGTTTATATTATATTTCAGCGAATGCTACATGTTGTAGTAAGTTGTTAATTAAAATAAATATGTGACGAATGATTGTAATTCAATAATAGGTGGCAAAACTTATTGTTGTCCATATGGATATAGATGTAATGTTGAAGGGTCAAGATGTTATAACTCTCCATTCCGTGTTTGACAGAAAAACGATTTAATTACATTTCGTCGAAAAATGAAGACTAACGAATTGATTTTCCTATCTCCTCGACACAAATTTTTTTCTTCTTTTATCAACACTTTTTCTATTCAATAATATTTAAAAAAATATATATAAATATTATATTTTATTAAAGAAAGTACTTGTAACAATTAAAATGAGAAGGGTGAGGGTGTAAGTGCATATCATAGGTAAAGAAGACTACGATTAGTTTCGATCTTTCTCAAGAGATATCCTGAAGTAGTTTTTAGAAGGTTAAATTGATATGGTTTTCTGAAAGATGTAAGTACAATACTTTGGTAGATGATTTAGTTTGTTATGTAGGGCGTGTGTTGTGTGATCAGTATGATCGATATACAGGGTTGTGTTTTTTTTGTATTTTTGAGATGCTGTCGTGTATCGTGTAGTACAATCTTATCCTTGATCAGTTGTAATTGTTGTACAGCAGTAAATCGTTCTAGTTCATTTAATTGTTGAGTTGCATGAATTTGGTCTGATTGTTGCAATTGTTCTAATAACAGCGAATTCTTCAAGTTCGTTCAACCGTTCTTGCTTCTATCAATCCTTTGGATCCGTCTTTTCCAAATCATATGCATCTAAGAATCGCTCGCTGAACATCTGAACCATTGATTCTTCTAATAGATCTATATGCGCCCATGTCTTGTTGAAATGCTCTCGTTCTCGTTCTCGTTCTTGTCGTCGTTGTTCTTCTTCTTGCTGCTCTCGCCTTCGTTAACGTTGTTGTTGTCGTTCCTGTCGAGGGTGCTGCCTTGTGGGTCCATTGTCATGTTCTTGAATGTTAAGAATCAAGTGAGTTTAACTTGAAATTATATTTGTCGGATTGAGTTGTATCGACGGCTGACTCGTAATCATATTTTCGACAGATAACAGTTGATCAGTATTGGATTAGTTTTCATTAATTGCGATTAATGATTCTGACGAAGTACCACCCTTTTGGCTGTTGTTCACACTCATTCTAAAAGAAATGTAAGTGTAGGTTAATATAAGATGAACACATCCATTTTCAGAAAAGAATAAAGGTTTCTATTTTTTTATTGTCATTTATATAGCAGAAATAAATGATATAAATCGACACATTTATATTTTCTTTTATGGTTTATTTTTGAAGTGATAAAAAACTTCTACGAGTGTATTTATACTATGAAATAAACTAGACATCTCATTGTTAGCAACGTTTATAGTTCTCGTATTTTTATTTATGCTTCTCTCCTTGAACTACATCGGGGCATTTACAGATACTTTAGTGTATTTTCGAGTGCAAAGAGTTTAACAATACAATATTTCGTTTTCAAACTTTTTCCTACAAAAAAATATGGTACTTGAGTCCTATGTAATATCTTTTAAGTATATTGACCAAGGTTATTCTCTTGAGTACCAATACTAAACTCTTGAACGGAATTCTTTGAGTTTTATATCTAAGTTAAGCAATGCATGTTGCTGATATTTTCAAAAGCAAAATTCTAGGATTCTCTAAAATATGTTAGTTTTGAACGTAGATGTGGGTCGTGGTTATTAGTGTGCTTGTGAATGACGTCTTTTCTCAAGGACACTCACAGGCACACTCTCCTTTCGACTGGAACTGTCATAGTCTTATTTGAGGCGAACAAAATAATATGATGTCATGTAAAGTACAGCAATGCTTTACATGGGTATATTATTTACAGCATGGTTGATTCTGAAAACAGAAAAGAGCTCAAGGAAAAGCTTTTGAATTTTTTTCTTGATCGGAGAAAGACACTCTAGTCTTCTAATACGTTTTTGAAACTTTTGGTTTGAAGCGTGTTCTAATGAGAGAGTGAGAGACTATTTGCTTCCATGCAGCTTAAGCAGTTTTATAATAATGTACGACTGGATGCAAAACGAAATTTTCCATGTCGATGAAACAAATGAAATTTTCTTTAAAGTTGTTCTGGGTCAATTCGAAACCATTCAAAGATGAGTACCATTAGAAATTTGACAGACTATCAATGAAGGCATTTTATTTATTAAATTCCTTGGCATGTTGTATCTGTTTGCTGCTTCATCGATGACTATTAATAGGGCAATGCCTGATCAAGAACTATTTCTCGAAATAAAAGTTACGTTGAAGTTATTATAATTATGTCTCAATTACGAGAACTTGCTTTCGTACCTGATATTAATCACTTAAAGCTGATGATGTAATATTCCTTTATTGTGCCTGTTTGTGGGTATGTATAGGTTTGGACTGTGTCTACGTTTTTTCTCAGTCACATACTCACAGTCATGTCAATGAACACTTATACTTAAACAAATTAATAACTACACCTACATTCTACACCGATTTTATTTCTGAAAAATCGCTCAATTTCATGAAAAGTTCTCAATTATATTTTGGCAATGATAATATTCTCACATTCGATTAGAGGTGTGAATGCGGATGAAAGGGTGGTCGAATTTGCATCTTCTTTCCATTCATAACCAAATCCAAATTCGCCTACACTCATAATGAAGATTCACCTTTTAGAACTCGGTTTCATCTTTAGTCGAATTGGATTAAACTGTAATGTTGAATTGACTTTTACTATAAGTTCATAGAACATATTCTCTCTTTATGTAAGATTCTGGAGAAAAATTTAAATGATCTTCAAAATCTCTGGTGACAGACTGATGAGCTGCATCTGATGGACAAATTTTCGAGGAGGGAGGGGCGTTCTTCTCACACCCTATACTTTCGCCGCCAACGGTGTTCAAGATCACTTTATAGTGCAATACTGCACTACAATTTTTTACAAAAATTCCACCGATTGCATAGCTAGTTTAACTCAGTTTGCAAATCCTATCAGATAAAGATTAAAAAATCGTCCATTTTGACAACGTATGACGATTTATTCGATATGACTTTCGGAAAACGTGGAACAAGTACGAAGCGAAAAATGGCGAGTACTTGAAAATATTGACCCTGTTGTATACGTTTTATTGGTTTCGAAACTATCACTGGATAGATCTCGAACAATTTCTCTTTACTGAATAAGTTCTACGATGCAGCAAGTTTTTCTTCAGGGTCAAATACACTGAATACAACCAAAATTAGTGGAAAATTGACGACATATCTTACAATTAGCAAAGTAAATTTTATTTCAAAATATAAGTCTGTGCATGAATATGATCAAATAAATTACAATGCAAAGTATTTAAATAAAATAAATAATTAAAGTATTACTCAGCCGATACATGTCATCATCAATCATAGTTCATTTTTACTAATTTTTTCTTTAAATTCTATATCAGGAGCTTTTTCCTTCGGATAGGTAATATCAATAATTGGTAAATTATTTTTTTCACAATAGTCAACATATTTTTGCGATATTGATCTCCAATCTTCTATATAATTTGTATTACCGGATTCATCTAAAAATTCTAATGCTCCCCATACAAAAAATAATGTTTCACTATCACCATAATCTTGATGAATATATAATGTATGAACTGATCCTGGAGTTTCATGTACAATATCTCCAGGTTTTGATAACCATTCTGGATGTTCACGATAACCCCATGCACCTTTTAGTGTATAACCATATACCTGATCATAATGACGATGTATGCCTAATTGACTACCAGGTCCACCACGTAATAATGTTATCCATAAACCAGTATGAGGATCTACTTGTAATAATTTTAATTTTATGTCAGATTTTGGGTTACCCCATGGAAAAAAATATGTATTATTTGCACTTATATGTGTTGGTCCATTAGCCAATAAAAAATCATAATTTTTTCCGTCACTAACAGCAATTAATAAACAAAAGCAGATAATATATAACAGTTTCATTTATCTAAAATGAAAGAATAAAGTTTCTTTATACTATTAACATCTTGATTCTCTTCGTTATTCTCTGTTTAAATGCAAATGACTTGAAAATGAAGAACAAAAAAATCTCAAGATAAACTATCAGTTCATTATTTTCTTTGATCAAACATACATTGAAAACTCAGATAGCATCCTCTCGTATCTCTTAGCTTTGCATGCCACGTGAATGCATCAAGTTAATATATATATATATAACCAACCGGAATCAGATAATAAAAAAAGTCAACGAAAGAGAGATAAAAAAAAGACAAGAGTCCCCTTGTTGTGACACTAGTTGAATATCTCTATTGATGTCACCTAATAGCATTACTGGTTGAAAGATGTTATCTCATTATATAAATATTGCGCACTAAAATAAAATGTGTCGTACTTTGTGACACGGTCTTCAGCACATTTGCCATTTTTCTGCAAAAAGAAATAATTTCTATTTTTCAGTTTTAGTCAAATTATCGATACTTATTGTTATAGCTCAAGATGGTCAGTTCTTGAAATCTAGTCGTCTCAATTATTCAATTGGACTGCTTATATATATTTGTATGGGCAAAACAAACAGGTGGATGAATAGAGTTAGCGGATAGATTACAATACATTGATATTACTCTTTCCGACTATCGCTATTCAGGATGGTACCGTATCCATCGTATCCATTTCTATTGCACATAAGAACAAATGTCATTCTGACTCGAATTACTTTCGCTTCATAAGTGCATGCCAATAATACACTATTGTTTAGTTAGTTGATTGTTGGCATAAACCACACTCGATGAAATTCAAAAAGTCTACTTCAATGTGTGTGTAATTGTGGTGTGGTCGCGTGTATTAATCTTGTTATCATCTACACTCTTACCAACTCTCTGGATTTACACCCACTCACCGACACCGGTATCCGCAAAAACTAATCATACAAAATTTTCTCCCCATAGCTGATATACTACGTCTGGATGTTTTTCATGCAAAAATAATGGGATAAAAAAAAATTGTCTTACTACCACTTATTATTGAATTGTAAATTGTAATATTATAGTTCGGATGAATTACTTCTTATAAATAATCATTTATAATAAGAAAAAGTAATGATTTAATTTTGGCCCAATGATTGTTGTCTACATCAATATTCATGACATTTTGAATTAAATTGTCATTTAAAAACTATTTATCCCTTTGAGAACCGAATTTTTTTAATCGAAAAAAAAGACATTTTTCAACCTTTTTATTTTATTTTAACTCAAAATGGCTACATAAAAATTCGATCGAAAATCTGCTTCCTTGGTGCTAAAATAAACACAACTTCTTTTTCCTTTCATAGGCAAATGCATTTCATTGTCCAAACGGTATGAAATGAAATAAAGAGTACAAGTTTGAAAGAGAAATGATATATTTTGCAAATTCAAGAACAATGTAAATTTGTCCATAAGAGCGGGAGTATATATAGCCAATAGAGAATGAGAATATTTTCGAGAAACAAAAGATCAGAGGAGAAGAGAAAAATTATGACGTTACTATACCTTAGCAGCAAAATCAAAGAATATTTGCAAAGTAGTTATATGAGAGAAGGAAAGAAAGAAAAGAAAAGTATGAGATGAAAAATGTAGTTGTTTATGAACTTAATGACCTTACATATTTAATAGTTTAATGTGAAATAAACACTTTTTTTTCTTTACTGGAAAGTAGGTGGGTTAAAAATGACCCATCGGTCCTCAAAGAGTTAAAAACAAGGAGGATTTGAGTGTAAGTGCGTGCAAAGAATACTAGAATCATAGATAGAAAAAAGCATACAGGCAGAGTTTTTTGCATATCTTTTTATTTATTATCCTTATTTTTTTAAAACAAAGCGATGTTTTTTTTATTATATATAGTAAAGATAAATTAGCACCATTAGTCAAAAGATCACATTCACCTTATCAATAAATTGAAATTCCCATCGGTATGATTAGTTTTTATTACATAATTCAGTACGAATACGATAAGCGCACAAAAGAAACAATAACGTGTACATGAAGTATAAGCATGATTAGCAGCAAAAATTTGTCAAATGAACATTCGAAAATTTTTATACACTTGATATTTTGTAAACTAGATTGATTTTACAGCTAATGATATAAAAATTGTTCTGGCGGATATAAAACTAATGGTTGTTTCGTGCTATCCCTAGCGAACATGAAGTTGAAGTTACTTAAAATGAAACCGTCGAAAAGTGGGATGCACAACTGATTTTTTTTTTACAGAAATATGGAGTGTTCGTTGTGTTAAATATTAGCATGAGTAATAGTTTGAAAATAATATTTTGCTTGATCAATGATTAATTGATAATGGAAAAAAGATGCCCCCTTATTTATACGGTTAATATATAGAATATGTTATAAATAGTTTAACTTGATTTTCAGTCAGATAGAAACAAACAAACAGTTGTCAGCACATTCAATACGAATTCATTATTGATCCATTACTAAAGAACTGCACGTTGTCAGTACAGGATAAACTGTTTTACGTCTTAAATTTCATTCTTTCTGCAAAACTCTGTATCATTGACGTCTTAGAATAATTATTTGTCAACTGTGTCCATATGCATTCGGCTATTTCCTACCAAGCGCATGCAAATGGAGTTTCGACAAAAAACACGTCTAGAGGCGTTTCATTGGAGATCACGTTCAGACGTGTTGAAAAAATTTTTTTTCGCCGCATTTTTATAACAAAAGCAAATTTGAACGCTTCAATGTTGCGTTTAGTGTTTACATGCGTAGGATAAAGTTAAAAATCGTGATTCTTTGAAGGTGTGAGTGTAGAGGGAGAGAAGCGCTGACCAACACTCACACTTACGCCCTCAGAATTTACATCAAAAACATAGAAAAGTATCTCGAAAAAGTGAATACGAGAAGAAAATATGATATTATCTAATGTTGTTTATCATTTTTTTTCATTTATTCTAATACGATGAATGTCAATTATAGGAGACACAAGAAGGAAATAATACTCAAACTTACATCTGTTAACAGCGTTACAACAATTTGGATATGTATATGTGCAATTGTATGTATCTATGTTTATGATGTGCGAATGATATTTATACATGTCAGCGCTTCGTGTGGGATAGGAAATTCTCGTTCCATGACACAAGATGAGACGTAAATATTTTGATGTATACCTCATGCCATCCCATGAAACAAATAGCTACTTAAATAAATATTTTTTTAAGAAAAGATGTAATTAGCCTAAATGAAATTTGTTCTATTGTGTAGATTGTTGTGTATTTTAGCAGTGTGTGAGATGTTTCTATGACTACATATAAAGAAAAAGTTTCCTCAAACTTTTTCTACGAAAATAAAATACTTCTACCACAACTTTCAGATTGATCTCAGTGGTATCATGTTTTGTATAATTAGTCAAACAGATAGATATACCACTAAGTTCCACTTTTTATCAAAAATCATTTAACGAATATGAAGATCCATGGAACGAGATGGGATGCGAGACTTTTAAAAGTATCTTGTCCCATTTTACTCCACGAGGAGTTCTGGTGCGTATATTTCTCTCAGTACCAAATATGGAAACGAGAAAATAAAACCTGTAATATCACAATAACGACTAATTCAACACTTCAAGATAAAAGACAAATAAGTATGTGTATACA